TTACAGGGAGAAAACTGGGGCTGGAGGAACTTGCACTGGGGCTTCACGATGGGGTGAGCAATGGCGCCTTCCTTGGCTGCAGGCCCGGATGCCAAGGCCCTCATACCAGGTACCTGTCAGTCAGGTTTCTGTCTGCTCTTGAGAACGCACCTTGTCATTTGGGCTCTTTACCATGACACATGCTGTCCTCCTCATTTCCATGTAATAGGTGACCATCAGAGCCCAAGCTCTGGACCAGACACTGTGTCTGGAGGCATTGTTAGGAAACTGAGACTCAGACTGATGGGGTATTGCACCCAGGACCACACAGCTTAAAAGAGATGGGCCTGAGAAAGCAAACCCCAAAGCTATGTTCTTAACCCTAAGCTGTAGGTTTCCCATCCTCCTCCTGACCTTCCTGGGAGGCCTGTCCAGACTTATGGACCCTCGGTCCATAAGTCCCTCTGCCCTCCGTATACCTAAATGCTTCTGAGCTACTGATTGGCTCTTCAGTGCCTCTTTCTCTTATAGAATCACTGCTATCTTCACCCAGCAAGCAGAGTGATGGTCCCTCCACCTGCCTGCTTGCCTCCCCATCCCCTGTTCTCCTTCCTGGCTTCCAGTCAGAGCCTGTCCTCTGTGAGGGGCTAGAAGCCCATTCACCTTTTTGTAAAAGAGCATGAGCCATGAATTGCTAGGAAGACCCTGAGAAGGAAGAGTAGAGGATTGCCTTAACTATATTAAGAGTCTGTATGGATTCAGCTTGACATGACTGTAGCCATCTTTAGTGGTAACTGCCACTATTGCCCCAGAGTAGCCTGGCATAGTTTTCCACCAAACTATGACAGATAAAAATCATTCAAGTAGTATGTGCATCTCCACAGTGAGAATCTGTTTGCAGAAATGTGTCTGAATCTTTGATATTAGCTTAAGAAAAGCCAGATACATTCTAGCTAGAATGAAGTCACTTCTGTCCTAACCCATATACATGCCCCTTTGAGTCAAATTACAGGATCCAATTGGTCTTGTTGCTACCCAGGACCACACTTCTGTCAGTAAGTTCCCAAAATTGCACCCTATTCTGTCATGGATCTGCCTGCTTCTCTGTCCCATGGCACCTTGGGCCTGGTCCTCATGCACTGGGACTGGATTGTTCTGAACAGACCCAGTACAAAGTCACAAAGCAGGCCAGCATGGACACAAGACCCAGGGGCTTCCGTAGAGCCCTCAGAGAGACAGCGTATGTGTGAAGGAACAGTATGCAATTAAGGGGGACCACACAAGAGCTGGAGGAAGGATGAATTTCCTTGTAAATGGCACTAGGAAAATGAACTCATCATATAGAGAAATTAATCATTGGTTTCCTAAGTGGCAAATAACAGTAAACTTCAGTGAATTAAAAAGTTAAGTCCAAAAATAAAACCACAGATATATATATAAAGTAGAAAAAATGTAGGAGAATATTGTGACCCATGGAGGAAAGGACATCTTAAATCATATTTTAAAGACACATGGGCTGGGGATTTAGTGCATGCCTGTCTTGCAAGCTCAAGGTCCTGAGCTCAATCCCCAGTACCAGAAAAAAAAAGAAGACAGACAAGAACAAGGAAATGGGTGAAATGCATTCAGCGCAGGATACCATGGACAAAGGGAAGAGCCCAGGGAGGCTAGAAGAAGGTATTTGCAATGTCTAAAATCAGCAAGGGGGTGAGGGTCTGGAATATCTGAGGAACTCCAGAAAACTAAAGAAAAAGGCAACCCACATGGATAAACAGGCCAAGTTGCTGAACAGGTCATTAATGGATGAATGTGACAGAGACAATTATGTATGTACCCATGTACTCACACTGTCTCCTCTTCCTGGGCATAAAGAAAGACTCTCCTCCCAGCTTCTTCCTCAGCTGTGTAGGACCGAATCACAAGCTTTCCAGGAGGGATATGAGTGGCAAGGCCATATGGCCTCCACTCCACACGAGTTACAAGTGAGGCCAGCACTGTTGCCAGCCTCAGCCCTGGAAGTGAAGACCTCACGGCAGCCACACACTCATGAAAAACACTAGAATCTCCGCCTAACTCTAGGACAGTGATGGCGAACCTTTTAGAGACTGAGTGCCCAAACTGCAACCCAAAACCTACTTATTTATCACAAAGGGCCAACACTGCAATTAAACCTGAATACTGAGGTTTTAGTATAGAAAAAACAACTGTTATCCCATGCTCAGCTACTGGGGTGACTTTGTTCACATGCCGACAGAGAGGGCTCTGCGTGGCCACTGCAGCACACATGCCAAAGGTTCTCCACCACTGTCCTAGGAGGAGCCACTTGCTCTGTGACAAAGTAGGAAATACACCTTTGGGCCCAGCGACTCAAGTTCTTGTCTGCAACAGGCCTTCTGGTTTGAGGATGCTTATGTCAGAGTTACTGTCTGTGCAAAAACTGAGTCCAACACCACACCCCAGGCTAAGTGTGAAAGTGTCCAGAGAAGCACTATCCACACCAGCCCAGCCTGGGGATGCTCAAGTCGGTAAGCAGGTTCCCTCTGTGGAAACTGGGGAGCAGAATAGTGTTTCCTGGGACCATGACTACTTCACAGCACAGGAAGTCATACTGGTAATAATGGGCTGGAGTCATCAAGAAAAGAGAGACTATATTCAGAGTCATGTCTGTGGGTGGGTGGGGAGTTGCTGGGGATTGAACCCAGGGCCCCAAGCTCTCCACCACTGAGCCATATGCCGTCCCTTTTACATCTTATTTTGAGACAAGTTATAGCTAAGTTGCTAAGTTGCCCATACTGGCCTCAAACATGATATTCCTGCCTCAGCCTCCCTGAGTAGCTGGAATTATACATATGCTCCATCATACTCTGCTCAGAACCCTGCAGAGGAGAGCCAGGCATAGTGGCACATTCATATTCTCCCAGAACTCTTGTTTTGTTTTGTTTTTGGTACCCGGGGTCGAATTTGAGTCATTGCGCTTGCGCAGCAAGTGGTGAAACCACTGAGCTAAATCCCCGGCCCTCTCCCAGAACTCTTAGTGTTCAGAAGCGACGAGAGTAAGAAGAGAATTGGGTAGTGTTGAGTTTGGAGGGATTCATAGAAATTAAACTCCTCTGGGCCAGGGATTTAGCTCAGTGGTTCCGTTGCCTCCCTTGCAAGCGCAAGGACCCGAGTTCGATCCCTGGTATAAAAAAAAAAAGAAAGAAATTAAACTCCTCCTGGCAAGAATATCCAGTGAGACTTTGGGACAACTCTTGGGGCATGATTGGACTGTATATGGCCCACATGTGGTTCTAAAATGTGCTTGTCCTAGAAAAGCCCTAGATACTGGATCAGAAGGCACTGTTAGCTTTTGTGGAGTGTGTGGATGGGGTGCCACATACGGCCTGGGCACCCTTAGGCTCCAGCCTGAAGCAGGAAGTGGGTGTTGAGCTGGAACCACTGCTGTGATCTCAGATGTCCGGATGAGTAGTGTGCCCTTCCCATCCATGACATCGGAGGAAATATATTCATTGGCATGAACCTGCTTTTGTTCAAAATTTCTAGGTTATCTCCTTGACACCTCCTTCAGTCAATTTAAGCTTTACATAAAAACCAGAAGTTCCATCTAAAGTTAAGGGTATAAATTGGATTAATTTCTTTGTAGATTTGTAAAAGTAATATCTCTTATTTGAAAAAAAATTTTTGACTGCCAGAAACCTCAGAAATAACTGCACTTAAAAATATTACCTTGGTTAAAAAGATATTACTTAGCTGAGTGTTGTGGCCTATCCCTGTAACCCAGTTACTCAGGGAGGCTAAAGCAGGAGGGTCAAAGTTCAAGGCCAGCCTGGACCACTTAGCCAGACCCTGTCTTTTTTTTTCTTTGGTACCGGGGATCAAACTTGGGTCCTTGCACTTGCAGGGCAGGTGGCGGAACCACTGAGCTACATCTCTGACCCTAGACCCTGTCTTAAAATAAGATAAAAATTAAAAGGCTTGAGGGTGTATTCTTTTGGTAGGGCACTTACCTAGCATACCTCAGGCACCGGGTTCAATCCCTGGTATTGCAAAAATAAATTAATAAAATATCAAAATATTCCTTGTTATTTATTTTTAATTATGTAGCTATGCAACTCGAATAAAGCAACTTGAAGTATAGACAATATTGCCTAATTTTTTTCTTGTTTTATAATGCTGCCTAAATTTAACAAACTATTTCATCATCACTAATCTTACACTAATAACTAATCTTACAAGAATCATTAATTCTTACAGTTTTTATACATTGTCAAATTAGTGCCTCACCCATTTTAAGAAAATATGAAAACACAAAAAGAATATCGTTGATTCTGATTTTATTTTTCCCTGTGATAGTAGGCAATCACGTGATTTCTAGTTGTATTTCCTTTCGGTCTTTTTTTTAGATTCAGTTTTCATTCTGTATGACAGAGCAACTTTTTTGTTCCTGTGTGTGCTTCCTCTTCCTCTTTGAACATTCGCTTTCCTGTTTCTCTTTCTCTTTTGGCTGCGGTCCTGTGCTTCCTTTTGGGCACGGGACCCACACTCTTCTCCCGTCAGTTGGGCCTGTCTGGCTGCGAGCATTGACCAGTGGCGTTGATCAGGTAATTTGTGACCCACCTGGCTTGACTCACATTTTCCTTAACTCCTGGTCCGGTTAGGACCTAGAACTGCCACCCCAGAGGCTATTTTCCGAAACAGCTTGCGGGGTTCTGAAAGCAGCTTCTGGTGGGAAACTTTAGGAAATGTCCCAACATCACAGAGATGAAATGGACCACAGCGGCATAAGGGACCTTGGGCCGGCTTTACCCCTCACCCGAGTCTTCAGCGGGCTCGGGACTCCGGAGACACGCGGGGCGGGGCGGGGCGCGGGGCGGGGCGGGCTGAATGGGGCGGGGCAGGGGCGGGGCAGGGCCGAGGGCGCCTTCCAGGCCCTTCCGTGCAGTCCGCCTCTGTTCGCAGACCCCGCGCGCTTCTCCGGTGAGTAGCTCGGGCCGCGCCCCGGGGCAGCCACCCGCTGGGTGGTGCCTGCGCTCAGCCGTCGTCTGTGCCCGGCGCCGGGCGGCGGGAGGGGCTCTGTCGCTTCCTTCCACGTGGGCCTCGCCGGCGGCACCGGCGGCCGCGCTCCTCCGGCAGGTGCGCGGGGCCCGGAGGTGGGGGAGGCCGAGGACCAGACACCCTCGCCGGGTCCCGGGCCGCTCCGCGAGGACACTCGGGGACTGCGCGACCGAAGGGAAGGGGCGGGGAGGGGCGGGACTCCAGCTGTCGCAGGCCTCGGGCCGCTGCACCTGCCGCGCCCTCGGAGTCGCCTGGACGTTTCTCTACGTGGCGGCGACCCGCCTCCGGGGGGGCTGGAATCACGTGCTGGTACTCGAGGCCGAGAGAAATCTTACTGAGTGGATGACTGGCCCGATGGGACTCAGGAAGCACCCTGAAACCCTCATCCGCCGAGTGGCTAGGTGAGCACGGATGTATTCATTCATTCATTCATTCTTTCAACAAACGTGAATATGCAAGCTGGCGGGAGGCTAGGTTGGGCCCGCGGTGGCGGCGGTGAGGGAGAAGACGAGGAGCGCAGTGTATGAGGCCTCAGTAGGGCCCCTATCGGCCTCATCTGCCAGGCGAGTGGGGAGAGCGGGCACGGGACACCCCCTCCCCGTGACTGCCTTTGCCCCTACCAATCCGGGCTTTCTGCTACCTGGAGGCCTGCTGGACCAGTGTGGTTCTTCCTCGGCCTCAAGGCAGGCTCTGAGTCTCAGGACTCTCCTGGGTCTGGGCTGCATTGTGGGGCATTCCCTGAGTCAGCGATGAATGGGACTGATTGGAAGCTGGGAGGAAGTGGAGGAGTCCTGGTTTCAGAAGTTCAGTGGGCAGAGCTCTAGTGAGGGTTTGTTGGGAAGAGGTGGCTCAGCGATCATCTGCAGCCAGAGTGTATGTCCTCGCCTCTGCTGTCCCTCCTGCCCAGGGAGGGTCTGGCACTTCACAGCTGGGGTAGAAGGTGGGCATCTCACTGGCTGTGCACGGGCGCTGGAACACAGGGTACTGTCGCTCGGAAATGGAGGTGTAGACTGTCTACTGTGATATGTGGGTTTGCAGGCCCTGCTGTGGGTGCAGAGAGCTTCGGGGACATGTGGTGCCTTGCTGTTAGTTGGTCTGAAGAGATTGAATAAGGCTGGCAAAAGAGACCAGGCTGTAGGGGCTCTGAAGAGTGAGTAGGTGTTTGCCAGAGCGAAGATGGGAAGTCAGGGCAGTGCAGGGAATGCTGGGAGTAGGGGAAGCTTGGAGCCTTACCTGAGATGCTCACAGCTTCAGAGGGCAGGATGGGCCTGCAGTGCCCCCAAGCCGGTATGTCTGGCCCTGCCACTCCATCTGGCCTCCTGTGGTCATGACCTGAATAGCAAGCAGTTCCTGGCTGCCACGCCTGGGTGGCCACCCCCAGAAGCCCCATGTGTCCTTGGCCAAAGCCACACACAGGTCTGAAGAAGACAGCTAAATAAGACTGAAGAGGAGGAGGGTGATGGTCAACTGTAACATACAGAGCTTCCTCCATGCCTGGAGAATGGAAGTGTATTGTATTGTATTGTTTTTTTGAGCTAGAGTCTTGCTGTTTCCCAGGCTGGTCTCAAACTCCTGTGCTCAAGAGATCTTCCTGCCCCCAGCCTCCTGAGTGCTGGGACTACAGGTCCGCTCTGTATGTATTAACTAGCTCATTTGGAAGTCACAGTGAGCAGAAACTAGGTTAGAATCCCCATTGTTCAGATGGGGAAGCCGAGACAAGGAGAAGAGTTAAGTAATTTTTAGGGTCCCGATCTGGGGATTCAGACTCTGGGGCCCCAGGTCTAACCATTGCACCATGCTGCCTGCATTCCTAAGCTTCTGGCTGCTCCAGTTCCCAAGTGTGGCCTGTTCACCTGCACACCTCCACTTCACATCTGCAGACTGCCGTAGTGAGGAGCAGAAATGACCATGACCATAGCTCTCCCCCTTTTTTCCTTTTGGTGATGGGGATGGAACCTAGGGCCTGGCTTGCACTAGGCAGGCGCTCTGCCAGTAAGCCCCAGTGTAGCCCCCACTGTCTTTCTGTGGACTCCTCCTGCCTTGTTAGCCCTGGGAGGGAGTCAGGGCACCCAGTTCAATGCAGCTGCTCATCTACTTGGAGGAGGCTGAAGCCTTCTGCCAGTGCCAAGGACCCTCTTGGTGGGACTTTCCCCAAGAACCACCCTGGCAGCCTCCCTTAGCCCCTCCGCCCGAATTGGTCTTTCAGCGCCCCTTCTTCCTCTTCTCTTGGCCCAAATGGGGATGTTTCTTCTCATAGAAGACCAACACACTCATTTGAGTGAGCTACAAAACAGCTGTTTCTGGAGGCACTGCGCCTTCAAGATTGAATTCTTTTTTTTTAATTTAAATTCTTTTATTGGTACATTTTAGGTATACAATACATTTACATTTATCATTGAGAGCTTATACCTTTACATGATGTATCTTGGTTCTTATTTTTTCCCCATTTCCCTGCCCTCCCTTCGACTCCTCTACCCCTCCCTATTTATAAAGACTTTGTTTCCATTTTTTCTTTTTCTCATATTTTTTCCTTTCTCTTCTTTCCCTTCCCCTACCCCTCCCATTTCCCCTGCCCCTTTGGACCTTTTCTTCCTATTTCACATTGTCAGTTATTCGTTTTAATACTTATATACAGTTTCCATTTCTCATACCAGAGAAACTGTTTGGTGTTTACACATGCATGTCCTATTTATTTCACTTAAGAGTATGGCTTCAATGTGCATCCACTTAGCTATAAATGTCTCCAGTTTCTCGTTCTTTATGGCTGAGTAGTACTCCATTTTATTAAAAAACATCTTTTTTTTTTTTTTTGGTACCAGGGATCGAACTCGGGACCTTGTGCTTGCAAGGCAGGCAGCAGAACCACTGAGCTAAATCCCTGGCCCAAACACATCTTCTTTATCCAATCTCCAGTTCATGGGCACTTGGGCTGTTTCCAAGCTTTAGCTATTACAAACTGTGCCATTGTAAACATATATCACTATGGTATAATTCTTTTAATTCTTTGGGGAAGATACCCAGCAGGGGAATAGCTGGGTCAAATGGGACCTCCTGCCCTAGTTTTTTGAGGTACCTGCATACTGATTTCCACAGTGGTTGCACCAGTCTGCACTCCGACGAACAATGGAGAAGGGTTCCTTTCTCCCCACACCCCCTCCAGCATTTGTTATTGGTTGATTTCATGATGGCAGCCATTCTTTCTGAGGTGAGGTGGAATTTCAGTGTTGTTTTCATCTGCATCTCTCGAATGATGAGTGATGTTGAACATTTTTTCATGTTTATTTCCTGCTTTTACTTCTTTGAGAAATGTCTGTTCATTTCAGATGCCCATTTTTTAATTGGGTCTTTAAATTTGGGAGGTCTGATTTTTTTAGTTCTTTATATATTCTAGATAGTAGACTTTTGTCTGAGGTACAGCTGCTAAAAATTTTTCCCACATTGTAGGTTGTCTCTTAGCTCTGTTTGTAGTTTCTCTTGCAGTGCAGAGCCTTTTTAATAAGATGAGATCCCAGTTGTTGATTCTTTGTGCTAGTTCCCGTGCTACTGAGGATTTGTTCACAAAGTCTTTTCCTATGCCAATGTCTTTAAGAGTTCTACCTAACTTATCTTCCATCAAGTTTAGTATTTCTATTTTAATATTTAGATCTTTAATCCACTTCAATTGTAGTTTAGTGCATGGTGAAAGATAGGGGTCTAGTTTTAATCTTTGGCAAGTTGAAATCCAGTTTTTCCAACACCATTTATTAAGGAGGCTGTCTTTCCTCCAGTGAGGATGGTTGGGTCCTTTGTCAAAGATGAGGTCGCTGAGTGTGTCTGGAGTTGTTTCTGCATCTTCTAATCTATTCCACTGATCCTTGGGTCTGTTTCTTTGTCAGCACCATACTGTTTTTATCACAGTGACTTTGTAGTATAGTTTCAAGTTGGGGATTGTGATATCCCCTGCCGTATCTCTGTTGCCTAGAATTGCTTTTGCTATTCTAGGTCTCTTCTGGTTTCGGATGAATTTTTGGATTGTTTTCTCTAGTTCTGTGAAATATACTGTTGGGATTTCAATCAGGATTGCATTGAATCTATATAGCAGTTTTGGAAGTATGGTTATGAAGATTGAATTCTTGGCTGGCTTTGTGGATGTTTATACCCATGATCTTTTCTGTGAAAGAAGCCACAGCTAAGAAGGGGAGGAAGGGCTAAGGATGGAGCTCAGTGTACAGCAGGAGTCTGACATGTGTGAGGACTTGGGTTCTATCCCTAGCAGTGGAAGGGGGCACAGACAGAGAGAGGGAGAGAGTCAGAGACAGAGATGGGGGGAGGAGTGGCTTGTTTTAAAGCTTCTCTTCTCCCTCAGTGTTACAAAATACTGTGAATTCCAGAGGGAAAGTTTTGAAGGAGGAAAAGACCATGTGTGGATCATAGATGAGACGTCAGAGAGGGTTGGTGCTTTTAGACATACAGAGTAACTGGAAAGCTGTTCAGCCTTACAGAGCCCCTGTTCTGACCATTGTACTACACTGTCTGCATTCTCAGAATGTGGGTGGCCTTCATGGCATTCGTGGCTTCAGGGTGGGCTGCACAGAAATGAGGCAGTCACCACCAGGGAAAATGCCTGTCTTCTGGTCTAGGGCTATCACTATATAGCTTTCTGCAAAGCCGGGGGTGGTAGTGCTCACCTGTAATCCCAGTACTTGGGAGGCTGAGGCAGGAGAACTGTTGTGAGTTCGAGGCCAGCCTGGGCTACATAATAAGTTCAAGGACAGCCTTAGCTATATAGTGAGACCCTATGTGGGGAAACCAAAAAACAAAGCAAAGCAAAACAAAACAAACAAAACCATGTAGCCTTCTGCAGAGCTTCAGCCTGGTCTGGATGGGCTCCCCAGCTGCAGTTGTCAGCTGCTAGCTGTGCTCCTGGCTGCTGTGCACAGGTCTGTGTCTGCCATAGGCTCAGTTCTCTTATTTGCTTCCTAAACCCTCTTTGTTCAGAGGAAAGAAAGTGACCACCCACACTGCATCTAGAACTGCAAAGACAGCCTGCACCCACCCACCAGGCTCCAGCTCGCCATGAGGTTTTATCTGAGGCCAGCAAGAAAATTCCTGTGTTTCTGTCATCAGACATCTCTTTGTTTGTGTTTGGATGTGGAGATGGTTTAATATTTGGTTTTGGCCAGGCATAGTGGTGCATGCCTGTGATCCCAGCACTCGGGAGGCTGAGGCACATGAGTGGACTACACAGTGAGTTCAAGGCCAGCCTGAACTATGTAGCGCAACCTGACTGAAAAAACAAACAAACAAAAACAGGGCTGGGGATTTAGCTCAGTGGTGCTGCACCTGCCTCGAAAGCGCAAGGTCCTGAGTTTGATCCCTGGTACAAAAAAATCCAAAAAAGCCAAAAAAATATTGGGTTTAA